CAAAACCCCTCACGAAACCACACATTTTAATATATTTCTAGAAATGAATGAAAGAATCACTAGAAAGACTTTCGTCTAGCCTCAATTTTTTTATTTAATTCATATTAAGATAAAATTTGTTACTGAAATGGCAGGTTATTGTAGAGTTGATGCGGGAAAATTAAATAAATATTGGTATAAAACTTGTCTTCCACTGAAATAAAAAGTTAGATTCTATGGGGAATATCGGGATATTTCGAAAAGAATTGACAACCTTTTTAGCGCATTTTCTCATTTATGGAAAAAATGCACTATTGTGCTCGCCATGTCCGGCCATCTACCCGTGTACGTCCGGCCATCTGTCCGTGACTTCAAGTTTTCGTCGACGAGAAAATGCGCGCTCTGTCACTCACTGCAGTGAGTACTGAGTTATATTTTTCCAATTTTCCGGAAGTTGCTGGCGCACAAGAGTGCCTCACATGGCGCCTGCTTTGGAAGCGCCAGCCTCAACACCTGCGCTGAGCCAACGGAAGCTGCTGACTAGACATGACGTCAGGCCATGTGTGCAGAGCAGCAGTGTCAGCTCACATGTGATGACGTCAGGCGATGTGTGCGAGCAGCAGTGTCAGCTCACATGTGATGACGTCAGGCCAAGTGTGCGAGCAGCAGTGTCAGCTCACATGTGATGACGTCAGGCCAAGTGTGCGAGCAGCAGTGTCAGCTCACATGTGATGACGTCAGGCCATGTGTGCAGAACGCCCCCTGTTGCCCTCAACATCATTATGTCGTCCCTGTTGCCCTCAACATCATTATGTCGTCCCTGTTGCCCTCAACATCATTATGTCGTCCTTGTTTCCCCCAACATCATTATGTCGTCCCTGTTGCCCTCAACATCTAATATTGCTCCTGTTGCCCTCAACATCTAATATTGCTCCTGTTGCCCTCAACATCATTATGTCGCCCTCATCTTAATCTCTCTTCTCTTTACATGATTTATGGAACGGAAACGCAACACGATCTGTTATGCAATACAATGCACGAGTATAAATCTCTCTGAATTTGCTGAAATTCTTCGCAACGTAAACATTATTTACTAGAAAGTGGCCGTCTGTTCTGTTTCTGAATCCTTGTCGACGTTTGTGGTTGATTTCACCGCTGCAAGACTGAATTCTTGGGAGAAAATCACAAAATAAAGCTAACTTTTATTGTAAATCTTATTCTAGAACTCATGTCCGAGAAAAAGGATCATTCTTTTCAAAAATATTCAATTTGTTTAAGTAAATCTCCGATTTAGGGTTGGACAGCGTCTTCCTACAGCGGCTGCTCGTGACTGCCTCTGAGGTCATCAGGATTACACAGGCAAACAATTGAATGATCCAACAACATCTCATTGAATTAACAAACACCCTTTGCATGTATGAACCACAATGGGGATTAAATGAGATTAACATCGTTGAATGATCTAAGTTCCTCGAGTTTAATTAACATAGGTCATCTGATAAATGATGTACCATTTCTTTGCTTGATTGTCAGCATTATGTATAGAGTTATATGTCTGTGCAGCGCAGAGGTGAATAGCGGCGAGGTATTCGCTTGATGTTGAACCCGATGCTCATCGCTCAAGGGTTTATGTGGAAATATAGAACATATACACCGGTGTATAGCCTGTAAAGAGTGATCTATTTAAAGACTGTAAAGTAACGAATTTTGGAGCTATCTTCATTGAAATTCAAACATCTCTCAACGCTGCGGTATTTACAATTACACAGCCAGAGAATGTTCAAGTGTTTGTTTTTAACAAGATTTATTATCAACCAAAATCAACCAGCTTCAAGTTAAATTCTTTACAAAACCGTAGTTCCGCAGATGCAAAATATGTTGTGACTAGGAAGACAAATATTTTGAAGGTAATAACTTAGGGATTTTTAACTGATTAAAATCCCGAAATACAACATAATAAAGCAAATTCAAGTGCAACACATCAGCAGTGAGGATGTTTTTCGGTGCGTGTTTGGTACACGACCGATGGCATCAGGGTTGTCAAGATGGGTAGTTTATCTACTGGAAGCAAATGGGGCTTTCACAAGGCTGCAGATATTTTTTAGGATTTGGCACTCGTTTATCACTATAGCATGAATAAAATTACATTCGATTCGTGTTAGTGAACTTTTCCGGTAACATTTATATACAACTAAATTAATGGCTCAAGAATCGGTCTTTCTATTGGTCCTGCCTCCACAACATAAATTTTCGTGTGCTTAAACGGGGTTTCTTGGCTTGTCCACTGCCCATTGATCTTTAGCTCACTTTTATGTAAGATATGTTGATAACACTTTTGTGATCATTAAATATTCCTCTCTTCTGGACATTTCCTCCGATTTTCTTGACTGTAAACATTCATCAATAAATAAAGCACGGAGTTGGAAGCCAACAATATATAGTAGTTTCTAAACTATCTAAATTTCTCAACTATCAACGATATTTAGAAATAAATACCGGTCGCTTTAGGATCTCCGTTTATCGAAAAATCTAAATTTACCAGTTTGGGCATGAGCTTCGAGCCTTACGTGATAAACATGAGGTAGATTTACTTGGCATCTTCTTTGCTTTTAAACTGTTTATCAACTTGAATTTCGAGCATAACTAAATGATATAAGTAGTATTGACATATGCATGCTCGCCCTGCAGTCTTCGACATACTTGTACTAGGCCACGACATAAAGCTCCGTCCACACGTTCAAAATTATCGTCAGTCTTGCATGTCATGCCAAGTTTTACATGCAAGATGGAGCTTGTGGACAAAAAAAAATGCATTAATGTTTTGCCTGCGGGCTGGCTGACTGAAACAGTCAACTCTTTACTCTGCGTAATAAATAATGGACGCTAAGTTTGACGTCGTGCATGACAGTTTTGAGGTATGACAAACCTGGGAAAACGGATCCATGGGGAAGTTTTCTGGGCACACGAAGACAAGTGTGACCGATTGCGAACAGAATGAGGAGATGTAGACGTGCGCGGACGGTTTCTGGATAGAAGAAAAATCTCTCAACTGAAACTATAACGGGAATTACAATGCGAGCTTTGAGATCGGCACAATTACTTCGTATGGACATGAAAATTTATGGTGAATTGTTAGACGTTGTAGCACCATACTTATGAAAAGAGACACTATGGTGAAGACTTTGGTTAGCTCTTTACCAAAGACTCGCTACTACTCCGAGATTTTTAGCATCCTGACGTAGTTACAAGGAGCTCGAGTTCACAACTATAATTTACAAACAAGTTTTAAGTACAATAATATCGGAGAACAGCAAGACCATGTAAAAATTTCTGTAGACAGAATACTTCAAGGTAACTATTATGAGAAATTATTAGTGATTCATTGCTCTATTTTAGCACATTATTGCCGCTAAACTTTACAAAATAAGAAAATAAGTTATTGACTATCTTAGTTACAAAGTCATTGCTAGCTGTAGGATCTACTTCCGTGTACTTCTCAAAGTCGCATCGTTAGTGCTTTTTTTGTTCCTGTGGCCTTTCAATTTAATTTGAGATGGGCAAGGAACTACGATATACCCGTAGAAATATTAACTCACAGAAGAAATAGTGTAACTCATGTCGTATGTCTTGATGTGACATTTTCCCGTGCAACACAAGAACTTACAATAAACAATGTTAGAGCCTCAGCAACAATATGACGAAGAGGAAGAAGTTTGAACGACTAGTCGGCTGCCCGTCTACATGATCAAACTTGTCAGTCTTGGTTGTACCAAGAAATCTCGCCCATGAATCCGTTTTTTTCTCAGGTTTGTCAAGCCTCAAAACTTTCCTGTACCTAAGCAATGCGTCAAACTTAGCGTCCACAGTCTCTGTCTTGTCTGTCAAATTTGGCATCACATGCTAGAGTGAAGAGTAGTAATTTAGTTTAAACGTTTGGACCCGACCCAGTCACCGCGGTTACCGGAACGTGCCTGACGTACGAAACCTCCATGCTTGTATAACAATTTTATTCAAAGCTCTGAAGAAATAAACCCACCAGCAGAGTCAGCATAACAGGCACCATATCAGTCACCATAAGTCACCATAACAGGCACCATAACAGTCACTATAACAGGCACCATAACAGGCACCATAACATGATAACAGACACTACAACAGCCAGCAGCAGAGCTGTTGCACCACTTCTTCTCAGGCCGCGCGTGACCTGCTGGATGACTTGAGCTCACATTCATGGGCGCGTTACAGGCGGCCAGCGTAGTGCATAGTAGTGGAAAAAATTGTACTATCGAATTTGTACTACCGCCAGGATGTACTGTTGCAAATGTACTACCGCTAGGATGTACTGATGCAATTGTACTACCTCCAGGATGTACTATTGCAATTGTACTACCTCCAGGATGTACTATTGCAAAAAAATTACTCGGTGCCACTCAAGCCCCAAGTGGTCGCTGACTTCACTATTCAAGTGGTGAAGTGGTGGTCCGTCACGGATGCCAAGCCAATTGAATCGCAATATTTGATTTGAATACACTTAATAATGTACGAATAGATTAACACGTAAATAATTTTATGCAGTTCTATTTCAACCTGATTTTTATTGTGATATATAGAAAATTAGATAATAATGCAATAAAGTGTAATAAAACGGCCAGAGAGACGGTAAGATAATGTGGTGTGAACTGCCCTGCGTGTGGAGAAAACTATTTCCGTCACTATAGAGCAGCACAGCGCTGTCAGTACAGTGTTAGCGTCGTGCTGCTGTCACTATAGAGCAGCACAGCGCTGTCACTACAGTGTTAGCGTCGTGCTGCTGTCACTATAGAGCAACACAGCGCTGTCACTACAGTGTTAGCGTCGTGCTGCTGTCACTATAGAGCAGCACAGCGCTGTCACTACAGTGTTAGCGTCGTGCTGCTGTCACTATAGAGCAGCACAGCGCTGTCACTACAGTGTTAGCGTCGTGCTGCTGTCNCTGTCTCTTATACACATCTAGATGTGTATAAGAGACAGCATCTCGACAACACAACCATGCCTTCATCCGTGTTGCCTAACTCGGGCTCGGCTGCCATTCTCAACAGCTTGAGGATTTCTGCTCGGAGCTTAGACAAGTCCAGCTCCCTGTCTGACGTCTCTCAGGCACCGGTCGGGTTTGCTGACGCCGTGAATGACACGTTGCTCACTGGATTGTCTACCATGACCACCTCAGGTCCTGAGAGCAGCAGCGGCCCGGTGCAGTACACGCCCCTGCAAGTGTGCGTGGCTGTCGCCTTCATGGTCGGAGTGTGGCAAGTTAGTTTCACAATGCTCCACTCGATTGATGAAATTCAAAGCAGTTAAGTTTGAGTTCAACTCCAGGTTCTTTTTGAAGCAAAAATAGGTAGCATATTTTGGTTAAATTAGTTTTGGACATTTATGTTTTTGCTGTTGTTTACTAAATGTTAGTAAGTTGGTGTTGTTTACTAAATTTTATTTAATTTAATCAAAATGCCATCATCCACAATCAAGCTCGCGTGTTTTGCTGGTAGATTCTCTTCGGTCTCCTGCACCTGGGTGACATGTGCGTGTTGCTCTCTGACATGCTCATCTCAGGCTTCACTACGGGAGCCGCTGTACACGTCCTGTCGTCCCAACTCAAACACATCTTCGGCCTCCCAGTCCCCCGCTACAGCTGTCTCTTATACACATCTAGATGTGTATAAGAGACAGGCCTGGGGTCTTGGGTGCCGGGGGTCTTGGGTGCCTGGGGTCTGATGGTGGGGGCTGTAGAGAGTGCTGTTGGTGCTGCTGACACTGACTGAAGTGTTCTATTAATTATTGCTGACCTCGGCTAAAATCTAGTTCTAGCGACAGCGGCTGACTAATGCTGATCGAGAGGACCAGTTTGAGTGCGTTATGCTGACCAATGCAGAAGACAAGCAATCAAAAAACCGTTTGACGGTGCGTCAAATGAGATATTATGTTGGGCTGTTACTTATTTATGACATTAATGATGTAATGACATTCTGTTGCAGAGAGAAGTAGCTGTTGGTGGCCGCAGCAGAAGCATCGTCCTCGCTCCACGCTTCACTTGGATAATCCATATCCACTTCATTTCAAGTGGATATGGATTATCCATAAATTTATGTACTGCACATTCAGTTCCTACATCTCATAATTTATCACATATTGCCCATTTAATACATACATACACTATACATACAATCACATCCTACAAGCACCAGCGCCCGTAAATGTTCCATCGCATTAAACGGCGAAGCTAAAAATTCATGGATGGAAGACAACAATTTCCGGCGAACATTATGCGTGTTTTTCTTGAGTGGCATTAACAAATAAGAAAAACACCGGTAAAAAACCGTACAAACCTCCGAACCTGAATAGCGTTATTTGTAGCGGTCACACATCACAAAAGGCAGTGAAATTCTTTGAATTGTTTCGCATTTTTTTCGACTGCCTGCACCTGGCCATGGGAGATACCAAACTGTTGGTAAACATTGTTATGGTCACAGAATTTACGAGCTGTTGCGGTCACCTTAAGTGGCCTTGAGGTCTGTGCCAGTTTAGCTCAATTGATCTCTAATTGCACCACTGTTTCTATACCTACAGTATTTGCTTACTGATAATTGGATAAACCGTATAAATTGACGATAGTATTATTAAGGAATGCGTGAAATAGAAATTCTGAGCAAATCGGATGCTTACAGATCTAGTGAACTCCAATACGACTCATAAAAGTCATAATATCTATAATACAAACTTTTGATTCGGTTTTCGTCATGTTAGACAATGAATTTCAACAGACAAAATTCCGTATTTAATATTCTTATAAAAGATCAATGACAACATCTAGATACTGAACAACAGCCTTTAAGGCTAGATACAGACTAGCTATCACTATATATACAGTCACTGCAGCCTGCCACTGTCCCCCGCTACAGCCACTGCAGCCTGCCACCGTCCCCCGCTACAGCCACTGCAGCCTGCCACCGTCCCCCGCTACAGTCACTGCAGCCTGCCACCGTCCCCCGCTACAGTCACTGCAGCCTGCCACCGTCCCCCG